TTTATTTATCATTAGATAAATAGTAAAGAAAATAGAAGAGTTTTGTTGAAATTCCGTCAATGAAATTAATGCTTGACATGGATTTGGTTTTAACCGATGAAATGTATTAATTAAAGTACGTCTATGATCACCGAGATGAGAATCTGAGTGAGTGTCCGTCGCAGAGAGGACAGTTTATAAATTAATTCGTGGTGTAAAATAATAAATGGACGTGGAACCCAATAAACTGGTCCATTGTTTGTTCCAAATGCAAATTGGAATTTCGATCGAGAGATATTCTAACGCGTCCGAGAGTTATTATTAATGAAGCGGACGAATCAATTATAAAAAATAACTCCGATAATATCCTGTCCTGTTCCCATCCTGACTCAATCCTGACACCAGTCCTTAATATATTTAATTGGGACTCAAAACCCACACACACACACACACAGAAATACACACCGGTCCTTCGAGACGAAGGAGATAACACCCAATGATATCTGTTTACCTGTGAGCATACGATGTCCATGTTTGACTTTCACAGATTTTTTGGCGTTTCTTCCCTTCGTCTCGTTTCCGAACCGTCGCCTGTCCTCTCTTTCACTTCCATCTCCGTTTGTCTTGGATGAATGAAGTGTACGAGAATGCCCACTAAACAAGGTCCGACTGTTTACTAAACGCACACTTAACTCCCGCTGCGTGATTCTCTCCTAAATACGCCAAACAACAATACCTTTAATGCTATGCACAGGGATCCACGCAAATGATTGACAGGTTGTAAAGCACTGTATAGCACAGAATCCTTTTTCTGTGTGACTTGAAGAAAAAAAAACGTGAAACCGCACAATGAACATCAGCTTCCTCCTCCTTATCCTCATCCTCCTACAAAACAAACAAAAAAAGTAAACCTTCTCATATCAAGGCAATACCTCAATAACATGGTTTTTAGCTGCAGCAAAGCGCACACAACGAAATCGAGATGTTTGCAAAACAAACAAATTTGAAGGTCGACATGAGCATAGTGGTGGTAAATGGTCAAGAGGATGAAGAGATAACGTGTCTGATGCCAATAAAGGATTGATTTCTTCATCCTGTCTCATCTCGTGACTACAATAAACATCTAAAAATAACATCTTCATTCTTGCATCAATCTTTAAATTTAATATGAATCGTTGAAAACCCAATTATCTGCGTCGTTTTTTACAATTGTCCAGTAGGAATTAATACAAAAATATTTCATTTAAATTATCTTGTAATTCGAATGAAATCTAACAATAGATTTAATTTTTAAATTATATTTACTAGAAATAATATAATCGCTTACATAATTCCAAAATTTAATGGTAAAAATTTTAACTATATTGATCATTAATAAAAGACCTACAATTTTTCATTGGAATACAAAATTCTGTAATCCGTTAAGAATTATAGTTCATTGTCATTTTAAAAATTTAATTTAAAGAAATATGTTTTGGCAGAAAACTTAATTAATTTGTCTTTATCTATATGTAATTTCATATTTAGTCAGAAAGAGAAAACTAATGAATTGTCCAGTTATGATTATATAAGGTGTCTCAAAATTCACGCAAGAAGTAATTTTGATAGAAAATACCGGTTTGTAATTCCAAATTGTAATTTTTTCATAACGTATTCACTATAAGGTTATGTAATACGCAATTCTTTAAAAATAATTAAGGTTTGGTAGCTACAGTTCGCAATTTTCGTACAATATGGTTGATATAGAGATTAATTCAAAATCAGAGAGACTGAATCAATTAGATAATCCAGTTTTTTGTGCCTAAATTGCAAGATATAAAGCCCACAAAACAATTCAATTATGCATGAGACATTTCTCAGATGATGCGATTTCACGCAGTTGGACTTTTTCTTTTTTGCCAACAAGTCTTGAGTGAGGAAATTGAGCCACATTTATGCAAAAAAGTCATGCGTCTATGCCAGCAAGCCGTGAAAGCCTTTTACCCGATATGCTATACCATATATAATCTTATAAAATTACAATTTGCAATTAAAAACCTGTATTCTCTATCAAAATTACTTCTTGAGTTAATTTAGTTTAAAAATAACCAAAATTGAAGCAAGGTATTAAATCTGTATTATACAGTTTTCTACGCATTTTTTTTTCAAGAAATTATAACATTAACTTAATAACAAAAAACAATTTAGTTTAATAATTGCTTAATTTCTACATTAATAATAAAAACAAAAGAATCATTTACCTTGGTTGGTAAGTTGTGAGCATAAGATCTAAGAAAATTAAATGTACTCTTAAAACACCAAGAAAATACTGATCATACCTGAATTATAAATTGAAAATTTTGTAATCTTAATAACTTTGTTACAGCAATTATACAAAAATAAATATATATTTATAATTCTACCATTGCAAAGGCCATAAATCGAATAATTGATTTTTTAGTTCCAAGTCAAGACTAAAAACTATGTTTTCTATTCAAATCTTGCGTTAATTTTGGGACACCCTTTATTATTTAATGAACTATAATAAAATGAAAAGACGGAAAGATATATTATTTTAATAATTTTATTTTTTTCTTTCAGAAATCATATTATTCTATTTGTTTTAATTAATAAATTAATTATATTCATAATTGATATTAAATTTCGTAAATTGATATATTTGTTAACCTATCTCATAGTTTTTTTTGTCTTGTTAATGTTTCTCAATAATGTTTTTGAACTTTGTCTTTGTTAGTTTCTTGGGATGTAGCCGCAGATAGTTAATTTGTTTTGCGGTGTATTTCCCCGTTCATTTAATTAATAGCCTTAAGGTAAATATGTTTTTGAATACGTTGGTTTTGTATTTATCTACAAAATAGTCTCAAAATTAAAGAATATAACAAAATCAATATTTGTATTTTATAATACAAAAAAATATTCATTTATTGTAGAAAGATTTATAAAAATTGAGCAGCTTTTATTAAATTCACAAAATGAAAAATGAAAACTGACTGAACAAATTATTACCCCAAAAGAAATGAGGACTAAAAGCCTTGTATTTCTAGTTAATTGATAACTTATGTTATTACCAAAACTATTTACAAGTATTTTTCCTTATACAAGCAAATTTTACTTTGTTTTTACCTTAACACTAACAGTAAATAAGAATCTAGTAATTTTCTGCATACAATTATAAATTTTATATATTTCCTTTGCATTAAAACTACGATATTTTTATAACGAATTATTTACATTAAATTAGATTCATCTTTTCTTTTTAATCGCAATCATTTCAATTACTCGTATGTAAAAAAACATATTTACATATTTTGTACCAACTTTCTTCTTGAATTTGTTCTATTTTGATGTTTACTTCTAATTCATTATTTACTTCAATCTCCATCAAATTCTCTAATATTCTCTTCTTTTTATAAGTATACATTCTTCAACACATTAAATAACTTCTGTCCCTCAAAACCCAAATATCCTTCCTAAATTTAAATATCCCACATTATCCCTATTTCAATACCTAATGTCCCTCGATTTATACACACTTGTTCCTACTCCGCTACTTTTTTTCCATCATTTTTATGTTGTTCATTTGTATATTATTATTATAATACTGATATTATTTCATAATTAAACTTATGTTCTCGGACCGAGGTCTTTCCGTTCGTTAGCCCTTTGGCCAGCCTATTAATATATATATTTTTTATAATAGAATTTATTTATTTATATGTATAGAATGTACTTTTGGCCAATAAATTATTATTATTATTAAATAACTTCTTTATTTTCTCCTCAAACTATAAAAAAATCATCCTTTTTTTAGTTTCACCATTTCATTATAAAGTCTTATACTTTGTGTTTATTTTTTCTTGGATAAAAAAGGAATAAATCGATATCATTTAAAGAAGAAACAAGTTTACAATTATTTCTACACACAAATTAATTTAATGAAATAAATTGATTTATACATAAAATTCGATTGTAAAATGAATTTTAAATAAGTAATAATTCAATAATTAAACAACATTAAGACATAATTTTTTTTCGAATTTTCGTGGAAAACATTCTAAAATATTGTAAGAAAAAACTAGTAAAAACTTTACATCCATTTATATAATATAGAAAAGTCTATGAATTAATACTTATATATAATTTATTTCGACTTATTAACAGTAAAAGTGTTTGTTTCTTATTATAAATTTAAAATATAATTGTAACATTTATTTCAATAAGATCTAAAGAGTATAAAAAAAACACATGAATCATTGCAAAAGGCTATTGACCGTAGTGTGTATCTGCCCAAAACACAAATAATTTCATTAGAAATGAGTTGGAAATTTCTCAGTTATTTTTAAAACTTGAATCGATAAAATGCAATGAACTTGTTATCAAAGCGCTAATGCGTATTTAATGATATTTTAAATCATTCCTTTCCGTAAATTTGGAGAGCGTGAATGTCGACCGGAATGTTATCTATATGACTCAAAAAAACTTAGAAGAAAAAAGGATCAAGAACAGGTATCGTTTGCTTCGAAGGAAAGACGTAATCAATTTCCTGAAAACAAAGCATCGCTTATCGCGAAACCAGTCTTTCGGAAGACAACAACTCAAAAACAAACAAAAAATATTTTTTTTGTATATGAAACAGAAGAAAATGTCAAACAAGTGTCATGTAATTTTCGATAATTCGTTGGGTTTCGGTTTAATGGAATTAAGAGGTTTCGAAAATGCGAAAGGATGATAGGTGAGGAGAGTGAGAGAGGATGGACACGCAAAGTACAGGAGGCTGCTGTCATGTCAAATCCGGTAGCCCGTGACAGTTGTAACGTGGAATTGAATTGAAATGTTTTCGGTGCACAATGATGGCTGGGATGCAGACCAATGGGATGTGCAGCATCTTGGGAGGAGGAATGCGATTGGCGGGAGAGGAGGTGCGCGCAGGATCCGAAGCCCCTCCTTCGTATAATATACACACACTGCTCGAAAGCCAGAAACACGAACATACCATACTGATACACACATGAGCACACGCATCCTCGAGGGAGTTCTAAGCCCGTCGGTGTTGTTGTTATAGTTGTTGTTTTGTAGTAGAAGCAGCATTTGTTCTTCGGTTTTATGTGAAGTGCGAAGTGTGCGGGAACTTCGGAAGGTATCTCTAAGTGAACATGATGATGATGGACGTTGGGATGTACGGCCACGGACATCATCACACTCAGCACGGAAATGTCTACAACTCGTCGGATGGTAACTTCTACAATTACGCGAACGAAGCGGCTTCTTGCTCTCAAACGCCGCAGATCACCTCCACCCAATACGGGTACCATTACGAAGACGGCGCCGCCACCTCGTACAACTACAACCAGGACGCCTCGGAAACGTCATCCAGTCCTTACTACCCTCACCAAACCATCCCGCAGGAGAATCCCATAATAAGCACGGACACCGGTCTGAGCTACACCAATTTGGACTACTCCAACTCCAACAGCTCTTCGGCTATGTACCCGCCGATGCCCATCTATCCACCAGAGACTTACCAAAGAACCCACGACTCGATGCTGCGGCACCACGACGAGCTTGATTACATCCACGAGAACAAGTACGCTCCGCATCAACTGGATCACGATCCTTACCAATCCTGCATGGAATATCCGCATCATCGCGGCTTCAAGGAGGAATCCCCGCAACCGCCACCGCAGCAACAGCAGCAGCAGCAACATCATCAGCAGCATCAGCATCACAGACCGCAGGTTCTGCACCAGATGCAACAGACCGCTCCGCAGCCACAGCCCGTCCTTCCCACCTACAAGTGGATGCAGGTCAAACGCAACGTGCCGAAACCCGCAGGTCAGTGATAATTCATTATTACCTCCAATCTTCATTACCTACGTGCGTTGAATACTGCTTTTCGTCCGAATCGATTTCACTGGCCACAAGATCTCGGTCGGAGATAAGCATACTTGACCCCCAACACAGCCCTTCGCTTAATACATACGCATGCAAACTATTATTCTCTTTGAACATTCCCTAAATTTAATTCCTTATATAATTGAGCTTTCAAATTCTTACTAATAATTAAAAGCAATCAAGAATCTTTGTATTTTTATATATTCAAGCTAATGACCAAACTATTAACAATTTATATATCTATTCAACGAATAAAAGTGAAGTTGTTATTGACAGTAATTGAGAAGACATTAGAAGATTACTTTTATACTACTCAATTCTTGTTTTATTTTATAAACTTTTTGTGTAATTGTTCTCTTTCTGTTTAAATGTAAACCAAAATATTTCACACCTTTAGATATTTCAGTCTATTCTCTAATAATTTCTTGCATTATTGGAGTTGATTTTTATTTTAGATATTTACAATCGCTTTTTATATAGAAATATTGAAATTTGAGATTCCCATGAAGTTGTAATATTTTCAATTGATGTTTCATTTACAGAAATATTACAAATACAAATGCGCTTTCTACAATGAAGTTGAAGTTATTGGATTTATTTTTATTCAGTTTTTTCTAAAACTTTATTTTCTTTATAATTTTATTAATGTGTAATAAAGTTTTAAAATACTTTACTTTATCGAACTTATGAGGAATGTGTAGAAAAAAAAACAGTTAAAGAGTCACTTCATACTTCACATAAAACCGAAGAACAACTGCTGCTTCTACAACTATAAATCAGTTTTCTTGATCCAAAGTCTCGTTTCAACAAGAAAACCCAAATTAGTTGTATTGGTTTTAGTTGAAGCAAAGATTAAAGAGACATTGAAGATTGATTAATTGACTCATTTTTCTCGTATATAATTTATTTACATAAATATTGATAAAAATTCATATTTATATAAGGACTAATCTGAAAAAGTCCAGATGCAAATTGAAAGTTGATGGCACGCGATTACCAAGCTCACTACCACCCGACCCTTCAAATTTGATCGCTATCAGAAATTGGCCCTTTTAAACCACCCTCGCTGGTACCGGTTTCAATCGACCGCGGACAGATTTCACGAGTAATCTAATTTAGAGTCTCATGCAAATTCATTCATTTGTTTTTTTTTCATTCGGTTTTTTTATATATTCATAGAGTGAGTTGTAATTTTCTAAATTTGAATATTTACTATTATTTATAATGATGATATAATTTATTAATTATCAAATAATAATTAATTATCGAAATATTTAGAGAAGATTTTTTGAAAAAAAAAATCAATATTTTGGTATAAATAATTTCATAAATTTATAAAAATTGAAGTTATGAAGATGGAAGTATAACAATAACTGGCATAGTGCAGGTATTAGTTTGAAACCGGACTAATCGAGTAACTAAATACATAGAAAAATAATTTTCTACGCTTATAATCCGGACTGATCGAAGCCGCACTAAACGAGATCATTTAAAATAGAATGATTTATTAATATTAGATCATTTTAAATGTAATAAACTCAGCTAGTTTCTTTGAAATGTAGAATGAAAGTATAATTTTGGTCCAAGGTAATATTTCTTTTTAATTTGTTGAAAGACAAAAAATGATTTTACAAATAAAAATCAATCACACTAATGAAGATTTATTCAAATAAAATAATTTGTGATAATCTATTGACAGCTATAAGCAATAAATGAACATTCTTGATATAACAAAAATAAATTTATTATTCGTAATATATAATTTGTTATAATGTTACAAATTGTATATGTTAAAAGCAACTATTGCAAGTTGTTTTTTTTTTCAATTACGAATGTTTTTCTTCTAAATGATTTTATTATATAACAATAATTATATTTTTTCATTATTTTTTTTTATATAATCATTTCGAATTCATATTTTATGTAATAATTATTGCAATAATCTTTCAATTAAGTAGTTTTTTATATTTGTTAAATATATTTTCTATCAAACAAATGTAAAAAATTAAACTATTTTTAC